CCATCTTTTATTTCTCTATTTAACTCGCTTGTGCACTTGAATAACTCGATCGGGGACACTGAGAAATTTCAATATCTGTTATCAAGTTTAAGAAAGGCAAGAAAGCCAAAGAAGAGGCACTTTCTGTGGTTTCCAGTCTTCATATAAGCCCCGAAAATTACAAACTTGCCTATGATGCGCTCATGGAACAATATCAAAATCCACGACTTCTCGCTTCCATGTATATAAATCAAATTTTGCGTTTTACATCTGCCAAGCAACCTTCTCACGCATCATTGCAGTTTTGTAAAGACTCACAAAAATGCAGTTAGCGCTTTGAAGGCACTGAAACTTTCTGACTTGGGAGACTTTGTTCTATTTCAATTATCCGTAAACAATTTGGATTGTCATACGCGTAAAGATTTTGAAAATCACTGTGATTCAAAATCAATTCCCACGTTTCAACAATTAATTGAGTTTGTCACAGAGCGAAGTCGGTAGTGCGACTTTTACTCTTCGACGAATTCTTCGCTTAATCCGCACGAGTCCAGGTGTTCTCGCGTCAAATTTATTAACTCCCTGACACAGGAAGGGTCAACCCCTTCAAGATCGACATCTAAACACAATTGTTTATTATGTTCCGCTTTGCACACTCTCCCTCAATGTCCTGATTTTATAAAATCAACGTTACCAGACAGTAAAAAGATTAAAGCGATGTTTTAACTGTCTTGGAGCCCACATACGCGATCGGTGTGCTTCGACAGGGGTTTGCTCCGTTTGCAAAAGCAATAGGCACCACACTCTATTGCATCCTCCACCCTCTACGGCAAAAAACAATAGTACCCTTTCTAAGGAAAAGTCCTCTTCTGATAACAAAGTGGTAGCTTGTCACGTGAAAGATGAGGATGTTCAATCGCCAACTCTTTTAGGAACCGTGACAGCATATATTCAGGATTCCTGTGGACAATTTCATCCTATTCGAGCGGTGTTAGACTCTGGTTCACAGGTCTCTGCCCTTTCCTCTCATGCAATCAAAAGATTAAGACTTAGGTACACTCCGCATAAGTTTCGATTACGGGAGTTGGTAATACCGTTCCCAAACCTTTCGGAATTGTTACCTGCGAATTAAAATCTCGTTTTGATCCTCATAGTTCTATCTCTTTGCAAGCCTTAGTTCTTTCAAGCATTACTAATCATATACCCCCAACGACCCTCTCTTCGAACGTCCTCGAAAAATTTAAAACTCTTCCGCTAGCCGACGAACGTTTCCAAACTCCAGGTCCAATTGATCTCCTTCTTGGGGTAGACTGTTTTTCGGACATCATAAAAGTAAACGGTCCCATAATTTCTGGTGAACCATGTGCGATGGAGACCATATTCGGTTGGATAATATTTGGAAAAGTTTCTCGTCAAGTCAATTCACCCGAAAAGGCGGTTATCAATGTGGCGTTTAGTGATAACACTTTACGAAAATTTTGGGAAATAGAGGAAGTAAAGGTATCCAGTCCCATGAACCCTCTCGATGTTTACTGTGAAGAATAGTTCCAGTCGACCACGTATCGCAATACGTCTGGTCGGTACGTTGTCTCGTTGCCGTTCTCCCCTAACGCCCTGCCTCTGGAGGGAAATAGGGACAAATCTTAGAAGTCCTTTCTCTCTTTGGAACGGCGTCTATCTCGACAGCCCGAATTGTCACTACCATATGAGCAATTCATGCGAGAGTATAATGAATTTGGTCACATGAATATTGCTCCTGCCCCCTCGAACTACATAATGCCCCACCACTGCGTATGGGAACAAAGTTCCTCTTCCACTAAATTGCGTGTGGTGTTCAACGCTTCCGCTCCCGATGTTTCTGGTCATTCCTTAAACGATCGTCTCCTTAGTGGCCCGAAACTTCAACGCGATTTGGGTGACATTCTCCTTACCTTCCGTGAAACACTGTGGCGTTATGCGGCGACATCAAGATGATGTATCGCCAAATCCTTCTTAATCCCACCGACTGCAAATATCAGCACATTTTCTGGCGAGAAAATAATTCATGTCCTGTTGGTGAGTATGAATTAAACACAGTCACTTATGGCATGACACCATCGGCTTACCTGGCTCAGCGAGTAATCAAGCAGTTAGTGCTCGATGAAGGGAAACCTTATCCCATGGCGAGTGTTGCTTTAGGTAAGCACACTTACGTTGATGACGTTATAACTGGGGCATCAAATTCAGAACAAGCTCATGAGCTCATGGCACAATTGAAGGGTCTGCTTTCTAAAGGTGGCTTTGAGCTCAGAAAATGGTCAAGCAATGATTGCTCGGTGCTAGTCGGATTGCCCCAGGACTACCTTGAAATGCCTATTAGCTTTGCAACGGATGAAAGTTGCATAAAGATACTTGTCTTAAATTGGAATCCGAAATCTGATTCATTTGGGCTTCAAGTTTCTCCTTTTAAAAGTGTCGCAACAAAGCGATTCATGTCGCCAGAATTTATGATCCGCTTGGGTTTTTGACCCCAACCACATTTGGGATCAAGTACTTTCTGCAGCAGCTTTGGATTGCTCGAATGAATTGGGACCAATCTATTCAAGGAGAACTGCTCCAAGTTTGGCAGAACTTTGTATCACAGATCGCAGAACTTAGAAAATTTGTAATTCCCAGAGCTTTCGGCCATTCGCATTTGTTTTGTCATCTCGTAGGCTTTTGCGATGCCTCTGAAAGAGGTTGTGCTGCTGGACTCTTTCTCTTGTTCCAGACAAGGGAAAATTCTCACGTCTCTTTTCTGAAGGCGAAAAGTAAGGTCGCGCCCTTAATAACCCTATCAGTACCCCGGCTTGAACTTTGCGCAGCGTTACTCCTTTCTAGAATCGTAAGGACTTTACTTGAGTTGGAAATATCCATAGCCTCCCGAACATTCTTCACCGACTCACGAATTGTTCTAGCTTGGCTGGCAACACAAACATTCGTCGCTCATCGGGTAGTAGAAATACTCGAATCCTCCCAGCCATCAGAATGGAAACATATTGCCTCTAGTGAAAATCTTGCTGACTGTGCGTCGCGCGGGCTATTCCCTAGTGAGTTAATTATGAACCGCCTCTGGTTGGAAGGTCCTCCACTTTTGTTAAACCCTCACTTTCCCGCAAATTACCGGTCTTCTTTTGAGCCCATTTCGATTGACGAACTCGAAGAATTAAAACCCACTTTTCAAGTTCTGTCCTTCATAGAATAATGTAGATGAATTTGTCGAATATTTCAACAAATTTTCCCAATTATCCAAACTTCAGCGAGTAGTGGCATACGTTCTAAGGTTTTGTCATAATTGTCGTCTGGTTGAGACTGCTGATCGGACTTCAACCGGTTTGCAAGGTAAAATTTACTCAACTCTTCTACTACAAAAATGAAATGGAATTATTCTATAATGGCAAACCCGCCGCTACCTTGCTTTCGCTTAATCCCTTCATTGATAAAAGGGGGATCCTCAGGGTGGGCGGTCGGTTGCGTCATTCCTTACTCCCTTTTCCCTCTAGGCATCCCTCAATTCTCCCCAAAAATGCACATTTGTCCCGACTGATCTGCGACTTTTATCACCTCGCCTCGCTTCACTCCGGTCCTATGACAGTTCAATCCCTGATAAGGCGAAAGTTTTGGATAATTTCGCTTCGAAGTTTAGTTCGAAAACGTATAAATTGATGTCTCACTTGCCACAAATTTCGTGCGAAATCTCTTTCCTCTCAAATGGCAGACCTACCGCCTAGTAGGTTACGCCCCGTGCGTTCCTTCCATGCAGTAGACACTGATTTTGCCGGGCCTTTCGCCGTGAAAGAATCTAATCGCCGTAGAGCGGCCATTTCTAGGGTTTACTTGTGCATCTTTGTATGCATGGTGACCAAAGCTGTGCATTTGGAAATGGTTACCGATTTCTCGACTGAAGCTTTTCTTGCTTGCTTTGACCGCTTTGTCTCTCGGCGTGGCTTACCCTGCGCAATTTATTCCGACTGCGGAAGAAACTATTGCGGAGCCGCACGCTCTCTCAAAGAAGTCTGCTCATTTCTAGAAGAAAACAAAGAGGCCATCTTCACACACGCTTCCCAAAAAACATTCAGTGGCATTTTAACACTCCTGCTGCCCCTCATTTCGGCGGTCTCTGGGAAGCCGTGGTCAAGTCCGCCAAAAAGCTTTTATATCGTCTTGTTGGGGATAGAGCCCAGACTTTTGAGGAGTACAGTACTCTGTTTGCTAGAATTTCAGCGGTTCTAAATAGTCGCCCCCTCTGCACCACTATGCTCGGTGTTGGAGATAATCCAGACTATCTGAGTCCCGCCTATTTTTTGCTCACTACAACTCCCCTCACGACTCCAGAGCGGCATATGACTGACGAATTTCGACCTATTTCCAGATGGCATCATTTAAGGCAACTTCTCCAAGTGTTTTGGCGCAGCTGGTCCAACGAATATTTGAACACGTTGATTCAGAGGAAAAAGTGGCATCGGTCGTCCCCTTCGCTAAAAGTTGGTGATGTAGTTTTCTTGCGAGTGATGGGGACGTCCCCTCTATCATGGCCCATCGGTCGAGTTCAGGAGGTTCACCCTGGCGCTGATGGAGTAACCCGCGTAGCAACTGTTCGTACGTCTGCCGGTTATTATGTCCGACCCGTACGAGCATTGATTTCTCTCCCTTCTTCTGAATGATCACCCTACTTCGCTGTACATAGCTGTATTATAGTTTTGGAAAGGTCCTTTTCATTTTCTGGTTTTTTTTTATGTTGTGGTTTCTCTTTGTTTTTCTCTTTCTTCGAAGTTCGATTTTTTCTCTTATTTCATCAGACATAGATTTTTTTAAATTTTGTAAAAATTAGGTGGGCGGAATGTTGGCGCCAGCCATCTCATTTTTAAATATACTTTGTTTTGGATTATTGTAATCCCTAATCTTACTAACACGCTCCTTGCAAACCCAGTCCTGTTCTACTTCTATGATAGAAAGGTCCTCACGTCTCTCTTTTCTCATGCTTTTCTCCCGTATTAATAAAAAAGTCTTTAATCACGCGACCACGAAAAACCCTCTTCTGTGCTGCTGCATCGATCTCTTCCACCTGAATTCATCGGATATTCTGCGACGAAATCAGAGGATTCGGGCCCGAGCTCCCTACGCTTCTTGCAGCCGGCATCTGAAGGAAGGTGGTAAGTCCCCTATGAATTTCTCCCTTAATAATTTTAATTTAGAATTTGCTGAAAATTTATTTTATTAACGTTTCATTTTTTAAATTATTTTTTTCTTACACGGCATTGGCCGTAACACATTATAATATAAATGAATTAAGCTGATAGCTCGTATCTGCCACTTAGAAAAATTACCCCACCTATTTAAATTGGTTGAACAGCTATTTTAAAAACCGGAACAGATTAAAACTTAAGAGAGAAAGTTAATAAAAATCAAAACATAGGATCACCCGCATTGTTTTGGTGACATAACGTGTGAATAGTTGATGTCATCGGCGTGGGATAAAGATGGAAGAGGTCGTTGGGCGTTGGAAATTGAACAAAACCGCCATTACCGCTTTCACCAAGATTTACATTAGTTGGCTAATTGCTTTAGTTTACATTGAACCTCGGTTTAACGGTTACTCAACGTTGCGAGCAGATCCTGAAAAGATTGATAAGGCGGGCGTGGTGTCATGAGAATTAGAACCGATGTGAAACTTTGTAATAGTTCTACCTACATGGTTTTCATTTTTCGGTTGAATTTATCACTCAAATAATGAGTTTTAGAAATGTTGCAAATAATTTTTTCGAAAGTTACGAATCAAGTGTTCTTGATTAATTTCCATCTCGTCATCCCTTAAACTTTGGAGACTCACTTTTAAGCATATTTATCGACTTCAACATACTATATCAGCTCCCTACTGCAAGTTTATGTGTTTTGTTTGAATTTGCGTATTTATTAGTGTGAGTGGTAAGGGGTGTTGGCCTAATCTAGCCTCGCCATCGCCTCTCCAGCCGTGTATGTGCTTAGGGTCGATGGCGGAATATTTGTAAAAGTACCTCATCGACACTAATTTAGGTTAGATTATTAATACTATTACATTTTTCTTATTATCGAAAAAAATTTAATAAAACTTAAATAGAGGCGGGACAAACCGAGGCGAGAAGCTCGTGAATCAGGAAACATTTTGCGGCCTGCAAGATCCTGACCCGGAGGGCCCTGGGTTCGATGCTAGTGGGATGGAAAAAGAGATTGGAAGAAAAAGCAAGCTGCAGTCAGTTCGAGATAGACGATCGGAGTAAGAGTTGATCTCCGCGAAGCCAAGAAAAAATTGAAAACAAGTGTGTGTGGCCTGTGTTGGGTGTGATCCCAGTGGTGTTGATGTACAGGTGCGGAGAGTTCCTCCGAAGAGAAAGTGCAGATACCGGCGGACACGACACAGCCTAAGTGGAAGAGTGATCCCGTGAGTTTGTTCCTTTCCAATTTTTTTATCGGGTCTGATAATTTGGGACTAAAGACATATGGTGTAAGGTTCGGTATATTATTAGTTTAATTTAAATAGAATTTGTAAATTTAGTGATAAATAAAATAGTTGTTACTCGTATTCATTTTTTTTAAATCATAGTTTAAACACTAAATAAGATTAGACCTTAAGATCTCTTGTGTTAACGAATTAACTCCGGTAGAACAGGAAAAACTTTATTATTTAGTTCCCATATTATAACCCTGGGTGGAAGCGCCACTTCATCAGGAAGAAGAGAAGCAAGAAGCGCTACATCGGTCGTATGGGGTTCAACTCGAGAACCGTATCTGTGCTCCCTTTCCTCTTTCTCTTTTTTTTCCATTGTTCTACCTTTACCTTTTTTTCTGGTTTCGGTATTTATTCTTCTCCTATAAATATACTTGCATCCCCCTTACCGACCATCATTTGTCTCTCCCTTCAACACTGCCACCCATTCTTCACTGAGCTACCGCCAACTACGTGCAGCCACATAAGGAAGCTGTTACAATACTTTGTATACGTCGATGGAAGAATATCCTGTACTCCACCAATTGTACATGAATGTATTATATGTATGAATGTCTTTATTTGTGTGACTGATTTAACTAATTTAAGTAGCATTAGGCTAGATTATAATTTGCATGGGGTGAAAAGACTGAGTTGTAAATAGCCCTTGTCGGAGTCTAACCCTTTTGGTAGGGAAGCGATGATCTCCTGGGCATTTGGCTTAAGGGGAATACGAGCGGCCCAGCCACATAACGAGGTGGGTGAACTCCCTGATGTATAGACACTAACGTCAACACATCGGAGAGTGACAACCCTTCCAGGTGAAAGTACGAAGTCCTATTGCTAGAGGAATCGGTAGGCGTAATTTGAGCGGTAATTAGAAAAATTTGGGCTCGATCGGAAATTCGCTTCTCCTGAAATTTATGTGTGTACGAATTTTATGCATAAAATTTTTGAAATTTTGAACCATGAACCGAAGTCAGTACAGCCCAAGTGGTTAGTTCAAAGTGTATTGAGCCGAAGGTCGTGGGTTCGAGTCCCGCACATGGCACTAATCATTTCATCTCAACCATACCTTACATAAAAATGATAAAATGATTTTGAATAATTGCATAAACATAAAATAGTTTAGGAAAAAAATATACCTACAAAACCTCAGGCATTATTACAATTATTTTTGTTTTACGAGTGTTCGCAACAGCAGAGGTTACATCAACCCTTGGGGTGTCGGTGTTTTTGAAAAAAAGCCCATTTGTAAGTTTGACGGGTTCGAATCCAGCGGCCTTGCCCCGAGACCTTTACCTTACAGTGATGAGCGCCGTGTCAACGCCTAACCGTTGCGGTCGCCCCCCCCCCAGGCGTAATAAATTATTTTAATAATAAATAATAATAAAGTCATTAAACACAAAAATAGGTATGAACATGAATTCATAAATAAATAAGACAATAAGAATATTCAAGCATATGCAATGCACACAAAATCAACTATCAGACGAGGAGTTAACATGTATTTACACATCTGTAAGTTAAACCGGTACATTGACAGACAAAAAATGTTCTTTTAACATCCTTTTAATTCAATGCATATTTATGATTGTATTTACGGTAGTATAAATCTTCTCTTTTATAAATAAATAAATTTTTTTTTGTAAAAAGACGCTATTTACGCATGAATTATAAAAATGTACATTCATTCATGTAGTCCATCGGATTCCAACGGGGAAACCCTTCAACAATTCTTAGGTGTTATGGACTACCTGGAGATTATAAAAATTAGATTTTGACATATTTTCTCATATGGGAACACCGTAAATCATTAATGGATGTATAGTTCATAAATAAGTTTTTTATTTTTATTGCCCATGCGGGAACGCTTACTAAAGTCCGGTTAAAGGCTCATTATGAAGGTCCGTGCATTTTGAGCATTTTTTCAATGTGGTAAGTAAAAATAAGTCTGATATCCAGATACATTCAAAGTATTTAACACTTTTAAATGTAACCTTTAAACTTAGCCTCATCAACCTGATGATGAGCGTTTAATGCTCGAAATCAGGTTCATTACAAACAACAAATCTGTGAGTAGAATCATTTACAAAAAGTGAAATAGAAGTTGGCAATAAAAGAGAGAGATTTAATTAACTTGTTATTTAAATTTGAAATAATTTTTTTAAAGTTGTCAACGAATATTTCACCAGGTGGCGATGATGGAAATCTCATTGGTAACCTTTTAATTTCCTAAAATTTGTTATTAAATTTACAATAATTAGAAAGTAAGCTTTTGTTGAAGAGGTTTACTATATCATTTTTTACAAATTCGTTATCTTAAGCTTTTGTTTTATTAGTTTAGTACTCCCTTTGATATTATTTTTAAATAAAGTAGTAATGTCCAATGACACTAAAACACAGTTTTTTTGTATTGTTCTTTAGTTGTTTTATCAATTCTAAAGAATTGATAATACCGGATGAAGGTTTTAAGTTAGTGTGAGTTTTAATTATTTTATCTATTTTTATTACTTTGTGACATAGAAAATAATATTAAGGACACTACTGGTTTTATAAATTTATTTTCTTTATGAATAAATCGAAATTCAGATAGTTTCCTAAAATCTCTGGGAGAAGAACTATCTTTTACGAAAATTGAGGTTTATAACACATTGTCACAACTTAGGTGTTCACTTTTCAGTACACTTTTATCTTAGCCAATTACATATATTGTGCAATTATTTTTATTTCGGGGAGAAATAATGCACAATACTAACAATAAATAGTTTTCTAAAAGCACCAGGAGCGGAGTACTTAATTTTTTAATAGAGGAAATTTGGAAATTTTTGTTTTCATTTCAAATTCAGGTTTTCACTTCTCAGTACACTTTTATCTTAAGCACTTCATTACATTGGGAAAATTTTTTGTACATTTTTTCGGAAAAATTACTCAAGCGATCGAAGTACTTAAAAAGGCATAAATCTCCGAACTACCGTAAAATTAAATAAAAGTGGAATTAAACAAACAAAATAAGAAAAAACTGGGTATTCGTTACCCGTAAATTATATATTGCTCAACAAGCATAAAAGTCCACAGAAACGTACTCTAATTGTGTTTGAAGAACAAACTCAGTTAACTACAACCGGTTTAGAAAAACGAAAAAAAAATCCGGTTTTAACCAATTTGTTGTCTCACTTACATTTTGAATAGCGCAACAGAGAAATAAACATCGTTTAAGAAATTATGCTGATTTGATTGTTATGATACAATGATTCAAAAATACGTGCAATAATATTAAAACACAGCGTATTTCCACAGTAATCAACCAGCAAAATGGTATGTAAAGTCAGTCTTACAACTTAAATCGCTCGTCTAGGCAATTAAAAAAAGAATAAATCCTGCCGAGATTAGGCAACGACCAACCAAATAACATCATCCACATTAATGTTACACAACCATCGGAGATGATTAATTTGACGAAAAAACACAGTGTATTGAGATTACGGTGTTTACATTTTATTTTTACGACCCGGCTTACGTGCAATGTTTTAGTTGGATGCTTCATAATGTTGTCTCAGATCCTCTCGGGAATGATGATGGAACTTGGATCGTTTCTGATAAAGAAATGTTCAAAACATTTGCGAAACATCTCTCCGAGGTATTTAATCCTCATAGCTTAGATATTGAACACGATAAATTTATATCATA